TATTTATCAGTATCCAAATCAGAATCTGACGATGTAATTTTATTTATGCTTCTCCTTCCGGGCAATCCAATCTCTTTCCATTATTGAAAAAAAATAAGGGCAGAGATTTTAAGTTATACCATTCGGTACTCGGCAAAGATTCCAACTGTTCATGCAGGAACAGAAACAGATATGAATTAACAGCGCACGCTTCCTATAGCGGCACGGGTGGCCTGTAGGAGATTTTGTTGTAAATACGCGTGGCAGTCAACGTGTTAAAGAAATAATGGAATATTCAATAATTCCTTGCCTAGGATGATATTGTATAGAGTGTTTCATAATTATGTTAACACCCGGAAATAAGTGATCCCTGAGGTCATTTGAAGTAACTTTTTCCTTAGCGAAAATGCAATTCGCAGCTTTGTTTACGAATTATTAACGAAAAACACTGACCATTGAGAGGCGAGCACGGCTAGCGCCAACGAGCGGTCGAAGCTCAGTTCCGCTCATTGGTTCGACCGCCTCGCGGCAGCTGACCACTCATTGGCCACTGTTTTTCGTTGAAAGCTCGTAAACAAAGCTGCAGATTGCAATTGCACTAAGGAAAAAGTTACTTCGAATTACAGTAATTTCTCCCTAATTCGCGCTCAGATTGCGCACCAAAATGGACAATTTGGGAAGAGGAAATGCGATTATTCGAGCCTTGCGTCTCGTTCTTATAGTCACCGTTTGTCAACAACTATAAAAACAAGACGCAAGGCTCGAGTAATCGAGGGTAAATCGAGTAAATTAGGCGGAAATTACTGTACCTCAAGAATCACCCTATTCCGGGTGTTAACTCAATTATGGAACACCCTGTAGATTCTTCACAGGCTACAAAGTTATACCGTTTCACGTTCTAAACATTTCAACAATGCAATCAGCTGCATATCTGCAGGAACGATTTATCCAAAACGTAAAAGAGTTATTGCGCGCGGTGTTATAAAGTTCTCGTCGTACCAAACATCGCTCGTAACAGTAACTCTCGCGACATTAGGGTTATGGGGTTGTGATCGGCAATTTTAGTCGCGCGTCAATTTTCGTCGAGTGTCGAGGCTCTCAGACAATGTCGAACGATCGAGCGACGATCAGATGAGCGATATCGTACCCGGGAATAGCGTAATTGTTCCGTAGGTAGAGCGGAAATAGCAAGAGGAAGCATAAATCAGGCTGGACGTTAATTTTGTTTTCAGCGCCGACGGCAACTACGAGGTGACCATTATGACCAAGGCGATTTTGCACCATACGGGGAAGGTCATCTGGAAACCGCCGGCGATCTATAAATCATTCTGCGAGATCGACGTGGAGTATTTTCCCTTTGACGAGCAGACTTGTTTCATGAAGTTTGGTTCGTGGACTTACGACGGGTACACGGTGAGTAATAAGATTTTACTAACAAACCGTTCGGCGCAGTGATTAATCATAGTCGCGGCATTCACCTGTCCGGGACATTCGGGCAAGGACCAACAGTATCGTGTTCCATGAATCTACGCAAGAGACCCGATTGTCGGACAGCAGTTCGATCATTAACTCCCGAACGAACCGTTCCTTACGGTTCGCCGTATTTAGATTTCGGGAACATTTGCCGAATGCGTACCTGTTTGAATAATTCGTTATCAATTCTTTCAAAATTCTTGCGACTAGCTATTGCAAAGGAAAACTTATAAATTTGGGATTCATTATTTGCAATCAAACGCATTTGGTATAGGAACTATACATAGATTATAGATATTAATGTATTCAGGCAACCCTCGAATAACACAGATAATCGGCTCTGCGTTATTTGAAACTGTTACGGGAGTCTTACAAAGAAATATGTTAAAGTTACACGTACCAATCTTGTGCAAGATTGTTCTTACAAAAGTATTTGACACATATTTTTCATGTTTCGATCATCTCTTCGTGGAAAGTCAAAGACACGAATTTTCAGATACGGTAGAACCTCTATTAACCCTTTGCAGTCGGAGCTATTTTAATTCGAAATCCAAAAGATGCTTTCTGATCTGCAGAATTTTTATTTCACACGACTCAGTGCAGTTTATACATCTGAAATTGTGCCTATTGGTAACTGTAATAATTGCAATTTTAACAGTGTTTAAATACAACAAATCTGATACTGTTGCAATTATTGAATGAAAAATGGTATAACAATTTATAGTGGCGCCTCAGACTCGCCGCTCGAGTGCAAAGGGTTAACCGAACATCCATTGTCCAAATTTGTTCTTAATGACACACGTTTGATACGTAAATAGCTCAATCTAAAGTGATTCGCCTGCATTATTTATTGTACAAATCAAAGATTTCATCTAGCATTGTATCTAACGAACTGTTCTATAATATTATCCGAACGGCCATGGTCTCCTCAGTAGTACGGATAGTCGAAACTTTACTGTATTCAGGTAATTAGAGAGAGAAAAATCGTCTTTTAATTCTGCGTTTCCGATGTGGGGATTTAGTAGCATAGAAACATACGAGATAGAGTCTTTAAAATTATTTGTTGCAATTTTTATTAATTTTATTTATTATTTATTTTATTTATTTTAATCGTTAATCCATTTCTGGAACATGATGTTGAGAAGAAAGCATTGCAAACCATGCGATTTAAGTAGCGTGCTACTTTTGCGAGCCACAGTATATATTTAACACTTTATCGTCCGGTCGTGGTTGAGGCTGCCACTCAGTAAGGACTGGCTTAGTCGCGCGCGCATTTGCTCCCAGTACCGGCTAAATTTTTGCTATTCATTGTGTCTGTCTCTTATACACATCTAGATGTGTATAAGAGACAGCCTGTATGCTGACCTCCCCATATCCTTATGAATTATAATTATAATAATAATTATTATTATAATTATAATTCATAAGGATATGGGGAGGTCAGCATACAGGCTGTCTCTTATACACATCTAGATGTGTATAAGAGACAGCCTGTATGCTGACCTCCCCATATCCTTATGAATTATAATTATAATAATAATTATTATTATAATTATAATTCATAAGGATATGGGGAGGTCAGCATACAGGCTGTCTCTTATACACATCTAGATGTGTATAAGAGACAGCCTGTATGCTGACCTCCCCATATCCTTATGAATTATAATTATAATAATAATTATTATTATAATTATAATTCATAAGGATATGGGGAGGTCAGCATACAGGCTGTCTCTTATACACATCTAGATGTGTATAAGAGACAGCCTGTATGCTGACCTCCCCATATCCTTATGAATTATAATTATAATAATAATTATTATTATAATTATAATTCATAAGGATATGGGGAGGTCAGCATACAGGCTGTCTCTTATACACATCTAGATGTGTATAAGAGACAGCCTGTATGCTGACCTCCCCATATCCTTATGAATTATAATTATAATAATAATTATTATTATAATTATAATTCATAAGGATATGGGGAGGTCAGCATACAGGAGGTCAGCTACTAACAAAACAGTAAAGAAGCGAAAACCGTCGATAGCTAAAAGTCGATTAATAGGCTATCGGTCGATAAGCATTGGCAATCGAAAAGCCGATAAATAGGCTAGCGGTCGATAAAGTGTTAACAGACCTGTTCTTACCGCATTTCAATTTAAATGGAACGTATTTAGATACCATCGCGGAAGTTCAAATTAATGTTTGAACTATCAATGAAAGGTAATGTTCCTTTATGAAACGTTCCTTTGATCGAGTTAAAAAGCTGCGAAATTATTTGATTCAGCGCGTTTAATTCGCCGTTTCTGGCCATTCGGAAACCGCGTTGAAGCTGCCAAGAACTCGAACGGGGGAGAAATTTCTCGAAGAAACTTCGTACAATTATATTTGCTAAAATTGATTGCTTCTTGACCCGACGATGGTCATCCATCTTCGACATTCGCAGCCCGATGACAGCGACTTTCTTAGAGCGACGATAGACTTACAAGCCACCTTCGACTCTCTGGCGACGATTTTTAGATTTGATTTTGACTCACCTTCGTACTGGGTTATTTTAACTTCGTCACAAGAGACGTTTGTGAACCTGTAAAATCCGATAACACTATAAAATATTGCAGGCAAGTAGAGTTAAAGTTATTCGTAACATCATCGCATTTATTTTTGGTACTCCTACGCAGTTCAAAGATGTGAAATCAGCCCTTGAAAGAATTTCAATGTTTTCTTTTCCTTGAAATATCTCAAGAACAACGAATAATATTAAATATGCAACTTATATAAATTACATCTTTTAATTACAAAACGGCGTAAAAAAAGATTTGGTTAATTTAATTTAATTTCGAATTGAATTTAAAATTTTATTAAAAGTAAAAACCTTTAAATCAAATGCAAGAAGATTTATATTTATTTAATTTTTAATTTAATCAAATGTAAAAACTTTTAAATCAAAGTCAAAAAACTTGATATTTATTTTGTGTCGGCATCAGTGCTGGGCATCAATCGATTGAAATTTTTAATTTGATTAAATGATTGATGAAAACGATTAAAGGCACTAATCGTCGACATGTCGACCAATTAATTAATCGATTGATGAATGTAATCGTCGATTGAAAGAAACAATTAATAATTGTTGATTTTTTAACTGCAATTATCAATACCGGTAACATCCAAGTAAAAATTTATTTCGCTTTAAAACAATTGAATAACGTTGACATAACTAAATTCTAAATAATTGGAATTTAGGTGGGATATTTATACTTGTACGTCAAAATGAACCAACTTTCGTCATCGGAGGGTCAAAGGTCGCTGAAAATGATCGAGAATCGATTAGGATGGAACACAAATTATTTCTGGAAGCTCTTGTTCCAAATGTACGCGTTGAAACGAAATAAGAGAGATTGGTTCAGTATATTCGTGTCTGTACGTTCATGTCTCAATTCGGATATTTCGTACTGCTCGCTGAAGATCATTAAGAAGTAATAATTACACCGAGAGGTTTCACGAAATAAACAGAGTTTATTTCTTGTCTCGAGATTTTGAAGTCCTAAATTCTCTCTTAAATATCACAAGTGAACGAAACACACAGTAATGACCCAATGACCCATGACATCTCTGTCTGTGAAAACGTCATACCCATCTCCCTTCTGAGAGTTGAAAAACAGAACTGGCGCGGATAGACGACAACCGCTGGAACATGGACTATTCATTGACATCAACCATCAACCATACTGCTTCACCTATTTTTCTTTAGCACAGGCTGTTTTATTTACGTCGCTGGGCCGACAGAGTACCCTGAACACCATCAAATAATCCAGTAACCAATCGAGAAAGAACACTGGCCTACGGTAGAATCGATCCTCCGATGCATTAAACATTCCGCACGAAAATTTTAACGTGTCGAGCACTGCGCGAAACGCTGGTATAACACGGCTTACGGCCAATGTAAAACTTTACACGGAACAGTTGTTCGGGTTGTGGGTAGCTTCGGTGCGTTCAGTTTTAACAACCCAATACGAGCTGCTCACTATCATTTCACAGAAAAGCAACACCCGAGCCGAGAGGAATGAAAATATTTTCCAGATTTTTCGGGGAACCTTCTCTTGGCTTAAACAAACATTGCTCATGGGTTTTTGATATTGGACGACTGCAAGACAGTTTTGAATATAAAGAGAATATACGTATACGTGTGAAATTGAAACCTCAAACTTTTTTGTCGAGCTTTCTTTTTAGATCTTGGACGGTATAGAGCACCGACAGGAAGTTGACACATCGGCGATCGAATCGCAATTCCATAAAAATCGCGGAATTTCTGAGCGATTTAGTCAATGAAATCAAAGATTAAAAAGATAAGTTTTATTTGTCTGCATTCTTTAAATAAAATAACATTTCTGAATCATTGCAGCTTAATAATTTTTCATTCTGGATTTCATTGACTTTCGAATGGCATGTTTAAATGGTGATAGTAAAGGAAAATAGCAAAAAATTAATTGCTGCCGTGTATTATAGCAAACAGCTCTTTATAGCAAAAACCGGCTTCTTTATAGCAAACAGCTTTCGTTCGAGACACTTTTTTATACAACACGTAGTTGGAAAAAAAGATTAAGGATACGTCAAGATTATTAATAACCTTGAAATAATATGCATCAAAAAGTTCAGCCTTAATGAAACAAGATTCAGAATAGAATGGTAAACAAATATTTCATTTTTATAATGTGGAAAAGTAATATTTAAATAATGTCATATAGTAATACTCAAAACACAATAATTGTATAGATTATTTTCAAAATACTAAATAACTTTTTTCTTTTTTTTTGTTTCGACTTAATAACCCAAATTACATAGAAATTATAACCAATTGTACAGAGATGGTTATTTCGAGAGTCTGTTAAAGTAACAATAAAATTTCTTATATGAGAGTAAAATTGTTCCAGGCTTACAAA